GATTCAAGCCATGGTCTCTCTGATTACTTGCTATGCATTTGAGAGTTGGACAATAAATGAGGATGACAGAAGAAGATAGATGCCTTTGAGCTGTGGTGTTGGAGAAGAACACTGAACATCCCTTGGATGGCTAAGAGAATAAATAGATATGTCTTGGAGAGGGTGCAGCCAGAGTGCTCTTTGGAGGCAAGAATAATGAGGCTTTGCCTCACATTGGGCATGTTGCTAGGAGGGGCTATTCCTTGTAAAAGGACATGGTGCTAGGAAGGGTAGAGGGTTGGGGAAGTAGAGGAAGACCCTCAACCAGGTGGATTGACATGGTGACTGCTGCAATGGGCTCTTTTGTGTCAGGAAGTGTGAGAACGGCGCAGGACAGAAGAGTTCAGATCTTTTGTTCGTAGGGTCGCCATGAGTCATCTGTGACACAATGGCACCTGACAACAACAAAAACAACAGCAATAGTAGTAGTAAATTGTTAGAAGCATGGTCACACAAGAGAGGAATTACTTAGGAAACCTAAGGAAGTGATTGGCAGGAAACTATTCAAAAACCAAAGACTAAATGTACCTCCATCCAGTCCAACTCTTCCTTTCCTTTCTGAGGGAAAGACTCCTCCTCTTTTTCTCCTGAGGAGCACCATTGGATTAGAATCCCCAAACTTTTGGCTACCAGGCTGATATATCATATGCCATGCCTCCAGGTCTTCTTAAACTACCCAGGATTGTCTTATTCGCAGATTTTTGTTAGCACGGAAAGGAGGTACATGAGGGCAAATTCCTTGTCTAGTTTGTATCTGAGCATTACTACGCATGTGCAGCACACACTGGTGTATTGAGTCGGTTCCTCCTCACAGTGATCCTACGGATGGAGTCGAAGTATCTGTAGTGTCTGTGGGGCTGTAATCTTTATAGACACAGGCTGCCACTTCTTTCTCCTATGGAGCAGCTTCTGAATCTGGATGAAAGTAGAGCTCTTTAACACACATGTTCTATTGTGTACCGTCAACGGCATTATGTCAATTCAGATTCATAAAGACCTTATATAGCAGAGTAGAACTTTCCCAAAGAGTCTCCTAAGTCTGTAATCCTTACAGGAACACATTGGTTATGTTTTTCTTCCCACAGGGCTATCGGTGGGTTTGAAGCAGTAACATTTCAATTAATGGTTGAATGCTTAACCATCCTTGAAACCCCAAAAAGTGAAGTTGTTGCTGTTAAGAAGATTCTGACTCTTAGTAACCCTCTAGGATAGATCTGTCCCATAGGCTTTTCAAGGCTGCAGATATTTCTTGAAGCAGGCTGCCATGTCTTTCTCCCTCAGAGCAGCTGGTGGGTTGGGAGGACAGCGGACCTTTCAGTCAGCAGACAAATCCTTTAACCACTGTACTGCCAAGTCTTCTTTCATTTATATAGTAGGTACGTAAAGTAGCTGTATTGAATACCTGCCATGTACTAGTTCTTTAGGAGGAGGAATGTGGTATCAGAATTGGAGGAAGACTCATCAACAACCTATGTTATGGAGATAACACCTCCTTGCTCACTGAAACTGAGGACCTGAAGCACTTGCTGCAGAAGGTCAAGGGCTGCAGTCTTCAATAAGATTGAAGCTCAACATCAAGAAGACAAAGATTCTCACCACTGGGCCAATTGGTAGCATTATGATAGATGGAGAAGAGATTGAGAGTGTTAACAATTTCAGCTTGCTTGGGTCCACAATTAATACTGTTGAGACCAGCAGCCAGGAAATAAAAAGGTGAATGGGTTTAGCAAATTCCGCTGTCAGGGACCTCTCCACAATGCTAAAGTGCAAAGATGTCAATCTGGAGGCCAAGGTTCACCTGATCCAGGCCGTGGTCTTCACAATTCTTTTTATACATCAGATAGCTAGGCAATGAAAAAGAATGACAGAAGAATAATTGATGCCTTTGTGTTGTGTTGCTGGAGAAGAATATTACCATACCGTGGACTATTAAGAGAACAAACACGTCTGTCCCGGAGAGGGTAAAACCAAGTTGCCCTTGTAGAATATCATCCTTGGAAGTGTGGAGAATCAGCGCAGGAAAGGAAGACCCTGGATGAGATGGATTGACACAGTTACTGGGGTAATAGAGGCAGGTGTGTCCGAGACAGTGAGATTGGCTCAGGAGGCTCAGGGCAGGCTTCAGAGCTATTTCACATAGGGTCCCTTTGAGTCATAGGCAACTCGATAGCACATAACAACAACATTAACACTGTTATTGATGCTTTCCGTGGATCATGCCATTTGATTCTTGCGTTAACCTGTGGAGATTATGGACACAGCTAGTAAGGATCTAGTTTATAACAGGACATCTGGCTCTTGAGCCCAGCTCAGAACCACCAGAGAAGAGAGGCCAGAGATAGTTGTGGAATGCATAAATGATTGTGAAGAATGAAAATAGGTAGCTGCTGACTATCTGAAGGCAAATCAGCTTCATTCTGTCTTTTTTGAGCCAATCTTACTTTCAGCTTTTATAGTCAGCCATCTTAGCAAGTCAACACCATGATATTTTTTCCTTCCTTCCTTCCTTCCTTCCTTCCTTCCTTCCTTCCTTCCTTCCTTCCTTCCTTCCTCCCTCCCTCCCTCCCTCCCTCCCTCTTTACCTCTTTTCCCTCCCTCTCTCCCCCTCCTCCCTCTCTCTCTCTCTCTCTCTCTCTCTCTCTCTCTCTCCCCCCCCTCCTTCATTTCCTTCAGCAAAAGGAGGGCTTTTAAAAATCAGTGTGCCTTATTACTTTCTTAACTCATGGAAGTGTGAATTTGAATACTGAGCTTGGCTTTGCCTATTGTTTTGATTATGTGGGGAGTTAACTGTCAATATGTCCCATTGAGACGTTTCATAGGATCCCAGATGACTGAGTAGTACTGTGCCAGGGGTTTTCCTAGCTTTAATCTTGATGGGAGTAGACAGCTGGGTCTTTCGTCCCACAGAGCACCGTTGAATTTGAACTGCTGACTTTCTGGTTAGCAGCCTAGTGCTTAATTACTGTATCATGGGGGCTCCTTTAAAGAGTTAGTTATGGGAACTGTTTGTATTTAATAAGGTGAGATGGTGACTGCAGGGAGCACAAAGTGCAGCTGTGACAAATAGAAGCTGGAGAGACATTTTAGTTCTTATTTTGCAATTTCTTTCTTCTTTCTGCATTTCTGTTTTACCTGATTAAGCAGTATTCTGTTATAAGTATATTTTTTTTTTAAAAACGACATGCTCTAGAGTGAAACAAAATAGCTTCCATACTCTCTGTGGCTGTGCATCATTAGAACCCCTATGTCTTTCAATTACTGTGGATAATTGGAACTTTGTGGTGGTTGGTTTTGCATAATGTTTTTCTTACTGCATTGAGTTTAACTCTATTGTTTCATTTAACTGTATCATGTTGTTAATTTTTTCACCAACACTTTCTTTAATTTATCCAGAAAGTATTTATGGAGCACCAGTTCCATGAGATGTTCTTATGCAGGAACTTATAGTCACGATGTCTAATATTCAATATCAAGATAATTTTGGAAAGTACTACCTGAGAACTAGGCAATTAAAGCTTTAAGACTGTGGGGTCACAAACATACCTGTGATAGAACTGCTTTAGGGAGAGTTCTAGTGAAGTGACTGGGGTCTTAAGGAGAGCTGGGATTTTGAATAAACAGAGGTGAGGTGAGGGTCTTTGATAAACAGAGGGTCTTTTAGGTGGAGGGAGGGTTGGGAAGAAGGATTTTGTGTAAGACTCATGAGCTAGGAGTTTGGAAATAAAAATAGCTTTCAATAACAATAGATAATTGCTTAGTTTATTACATAAACTTACATAAAAGCTTAGTTACTCATTGCTGTCTAATCAGAACTAACTCTTAGCTGAACACCTGGTTTCTGAGGCTGTAAATAGGACACAAGGAGATTTTCCATCTTTCTCCCATGGAACTGTTGCTGGAATCAAATGGTAGATAGATTCTGACTTTGGGTTAGCAGTGCAACTACCTATAGACTATACCCCCAGACCTTTCCTATTTTTTGCCATGAAGATTTATATTAAAATTTCATTTACCTTGTTAACATTATCATGAAACTTTGGTGGCCTAGTGACAAGAAGCTATGTTGCAATCCTGAAGAATTACTGAAGGCACATGGTTTGAGGCATTAGCTGCTCCATGGGAGAAGGATGGACAATCATCTCCCATGCAATTAACTGCCTCTGAAAATGTGCTGGAGGATCAGCTATGGGTCGGTTCTGACTCAACAGTACATGACGACAACAATAATGTCATAAGACTCACATTGTTATCTAGTTGAGAGGAAGACAGTCTCAATAAGGAAGTCAGAATAAGATTCAAGCTTAGCTCCAGGATCTGTTACTGTCTGTCTTGCAGTTTGGGAGTGATGTGACCTCACAAGGTTATCATCACCAGCCTGGTGGGTATAGTTCTCAGTTGGAGGTTCTGCAATATCTTTAGGTATGACCATTCCCCTTTCAGGAGAGGACTTGATCCCATAAAAGGAGCACATTTTCATTTCCTAGAGTTGCTGAACACCACAGAGTGAATGGCTTTAAACAACAGGCTTTTTTTTTGTTCCCACATTCTGGAAGCAGCAGATAGAATCCAGGATGTTGGCAGAGCAATGCTCCCTCTGTATGTTCTAGGGTAAGGTGCTTTCCTTTTCTTTCTTGTTCAACCTCCTATGGTTGTAGGTGTTTTTTGGTTCTTTTTGTCTTTTTCCTTCAGAGTGTCTGTGTCTCTTTTCCTCTTTTATAAGAATGTCACTGGAATGGGATTAGGATTTACTCTATATTATTAGTGTGAACTCATCTTCACACAACCCTATTTTCAAACAAAGTCATAGGTATCAGTGGTTCAGATTTCAACTTAACTTTTTAGGGGACATGATTTAACCTGTAAGAAACCAGGAATGGTAAGTTCAGCTGGAATATACACTATCTTTTGCCATTAAGAAATACCAGAGGCCCCAATCAACTCTGACACATTTTCTTTTTCAGGTCAAGTCTCTGATGCTGTTGATGCTGGGACTTACTCTCTTGAGGGCAGTAGCAGGTTGGAAAATCCCCAAAGCACGGAACGTTGCCTCCCAAACGCCCAAGAATTGCTCTTCTCTGGAGCAGAACACCGTGTCACTGGACATTCGCATTCTCAGAAACAACCAGGGCAGCCCCACTTCACCAAATATCAACAACCGCTCCACTTCCCCCTGGGATTATAAGTAAGTATAAGGAAGGTGCGTCTGATACAGGCCATGGTCTTTGCTATCACTTGTTATACATCAGAGAGTTGGACAGTGACTTAGGAGGATAGAAGGAGAATTGATGCCTTTGAACTGTGGTGCTGGAGAAGAGTATTGAGGGTATCATGGACTGCTAGGAAAACAAACAGATTCATCCTGGAGAGGGTTAAACCGGCATGCTCCTTGGAGGCATGGATTCTGAGGCTCCGTCTGACATACTTTGGACATGTTGTGAGGAGAGACCGGTCCTTGGAGAGGGACATCGTGCTTGGTAGGGTGGAGAGACAGTGCAAGAGGGGAAGACCCTTTATGAGGTGGATTGGTTCAGTGACTGGGGTAATAGGGATGGGAGTATCAGAGACAGTGCGATTGGCACAGGATAGAGCAGAGTTTAGGGCTGTTGTACATAGGGTCGCTATGAGTCACAAGAGACTCGACGACACATAACAACAACAACAACATAAGGAAGATAAATCTGCACTTAAAAAACACACACACACACACCCCAAACCCAAATGTGTTAATGTGCTCTGATTATAAAGTAGAAAATACAGAAAGATGAAAATGAAAACATTCACTCTTCTTCAAATACTGATATCTTGGGCACTCACATTTTCCATGCTGTTTTGGGTTAGATTTGCCTATGTGATCAAAGGTTCTGATATTTTGCTTTCTAGTTCCCATTGATCCTTTGCCTTTGTTTGCTTTGTTTCCTAGTTTAGAATCCATAAGTTTCCTGTATTAAAAGAGAGAACTTTATAAAGGGGCTGTCATAATTATCTTTGCATAGGGAGAAGTAGGAATGAGAAAAGTCAGCTTAGAGAGATGCGTTCTGATTAGACATCTTTCTTCAAGAACTGAAGAGGAGTTGAGGAAAAAGACCAATTTAAAGAGAGGAATGTGTGTGGAAATCTTCACAGGTCAGCCTCAGGTTTTTGCCTGAAGGTGTAGGCTCTTAGAGTACCAGCTACACTCACCAATGTAAAATGAAAAGAACCCAGGGGCTCCTGGCACTGCCTGCAATATTTTCCATGTCAGTGGAGTATGTATGGTGATAAGTTGTCTCTTTTTAGATACTGGTTCCTGAAAACACAGATGAAGTTGTTTGTTTGTTGTTGTTATGTGCTATTGAATCACCTGAGACTCATAGCAACCCTATATACAACAGCCCAAACCCTGCTCTATACCTTGCCAATCTTATTGTCTCCGACACACCTATCTCCATTATTTCAGTCACTGACTCAATCCACCTCATCAAGGGTTCCCATTACTCCAGTGACTCAATCAATCCATCTCATCAAGGGTCTTCCTCTTCTGCACTCTCTCCTCCACCTCCCAAGCATGATGTTTCTGTCTAAGGACTGATTCTGCCTTACAACACGTCCAAAGTATGTCAGACGAAGCTGCAGAATCCGCCTCCAAGGAGCAGGCTGGCATCATCTTCTCCAGGACGAACTTGTCTGTTCTAGAATTCCATGGTATAAATGTTACCATCCTCACCACTAAATCATATTTCTTACCTTATTTCTTACCATACAGATTTACTTGACTATGGTAGAGCTAAAATTTATCCCCAGAAAATTATAATTACCACTAAGATTAAAGTCTGTATCAGATTATAGTCACCATTAGGATTAAACCCTATTGATCAGTTCTACCCTGTAGTTCTACCCAGTTGTAATGGGTCAGCATCTACTCAATAAGAACAGGTTTGATTTTATGTCTAACCTCGGGGGTAAAAGGATAATTCATAGTAACGACAGCAACAACACAAAATGAGGTATAATAAATGTAGCCTATGTTGTTAGAAGGCACTAGCCCTCATCAGAAAAAGACATCATGCTAGGAAAAGTTGATGGTCAGTGAAAGAGAGGAAGACCCTTAATGAGATGGATTGATACAGCGACTGCAATGATGAGCTTGAGCAGGGGGGACATTGTGTTGATGGCGGGGGACATTGTGTTGATAGCCCTAGATAAGGCAAAGTTCAGGTCTGTTGTTCCTTGGGTCCTTAGAAGTTGTAGTCAACTCGATAACACCTAAAAACATTGGTGTTCATTAAAGGCTGACATTTTACAAAGTGATGCTTTTTACACTTTTTAATCACTGACTGTTATCAATAATCCCATGAAAGAGATACAGGAGAATCCTCATTTTTTGTTGCGGAAACTCAGGCCTATGGAGTGATGCAAAGGCCAGTGGGTGGTGTTTGGCTGCAGACAATCTGTATTACTGGGAACGACCTGCCTGTAAATGCACAGCCAGCGCTGCATGCACTCGTCCTCTGCGCATATGACCCTGTCTCCCTTCCCTCACCTTTTCCCTGTTTCTCCTGCAGCATCACCCAGGATATAAATCGCTTCCCCTCTTCGATAGCAGAGGCCCAGTGCAGATCCTTAGTCTGCGTCGATTCTAATGGAAATCCAAACAACTTCATGAATTCTGTTCCCATCCACCAAGAGATCCTGGTCCTCCGGCGGGACCCGCAGGGTTGCGCCATCTTCCGGCTGGAGAGGATCCGGGTGGCTGTGGGCTGCACCTGCGTCACTCCTCTCGTCCAACACTCAAACTGAGCTCTGCACGTGATTTCGACTTGAAGCAGCCGTGGAAAGACCATGTCTTACCCATCACTCTACAAGTCCTGCCTACTACCCTTCGCTTCCTAGAACTTTTAGTTAAAACCTGTATGGGATTCTCAAAGCTTTGTGTTAAATACAGTATTGTTGGCTTTCTGGGGACTCGTAGGAATCATATCATCATCCTGAAGTGTTCCAGTGCCTCACTTTCCTGAAAATTGAGGGAGAGCATGAAGCATGAAGAAGTCCTTAATGCACCCCTTTTGTGCTCTATTAGAATGGCTCTTAACCATGCAGCCACTCTAATATAGTGTGACCCAGGGCTTCCAGCTCTGTTGAGTTGGTTTTTACTACACGTGCAGGAAAACATGGGAAACATGATCAGAATGTAGGAGTGTGTGCACAGGAGCTACAGAAGGTGGAGTGGGTTTAGTAAAGATGGGAATAAGGCTCTACTATATATATATATATATATGATGGGAACAACTACATATTTATAAGGATACTATCCATGGCATTTATGACCTGTTGATTATGTAAAACTTTAGGAAAAAGATTAATATATGGAATGATAATAAAATAAAAGATTGTGATTAAAAAAGACTTGAAATGCTCATTTCCAGTTCCACTTTCATTTTCTACTCAGAGACCCCTGTTGCTCAGAATTTTGAAATCTATATACCCTTCATTTTACAAACGTCCTCATCACTGTACTTGTATTGGAGTTATTTTCCTACTTAGGGAATGTGAGTTAAGGAAAATGGAACAAATAGAATTGTTTCCCTGTTCATTGTTCATAAAATAAACATTTACTGGTCACTATAATGGTTGCTCATAAGAAAGCTGGACAGTGACTAGGGATGACAGAGGATTGATGCCTTTGAGCTGTGGTGCTGGTGAAGAGTATTGAGTATACCTTGGACTGCTAGGAGAACAAGCAGGTTCATCCTGGAGAGGATGAAGTCAGTCTGCTCCTTGGAGGCAAGGATTCTAAAGCTTCATCTGTCATACTTTGGACATGTTGCAAGGAGGGAAGAGTCCTTAGAGAGGGATATCATGCTTGGGAGGGTGGAGGGACAACACAAGAGAGAAAAACCCATAATGAGATGGATTGATTCAGTGACTGGAGTAACAAGGGTAGGTGTTTCAAAGACAGTAAGATTGGCACAGGATAGAGCATGTTTTAGGGCTGTTGTACATAGGGTCGCTATGAGTCTCAGGCGACTTGACAACACGTAACAACAACAACAACATGGCTGCTGGAGATAGAAAGAACATTACTGTCTGTAAGCAATGCCTATGGAAGTGCACATATATTGGTAGAGGCCACCACCCACAAAGCCTAATGACAATGTCCTGATAATCCACAGGTCCATTGTAGTCACATTGCAGTCTTTGGTTATGACTTCTGGGCCTTTGAAGTTATCACCCATTTCTTACACTTCTTGAGAACGTAGGAGCTTCTCTACAGCCTGAGTGGTGAGGGAAGTTGTTGATGTGTGCTGTCAAGTCAGAATCAACTCATAGCTGACTCTCCAGTGGGATTTCAGAGGTAGAAAACTGCAAGGGAGGAGCTTGCCCATCCATCTCCTTTGGAGCAGCTGGTGGATTTGAACCAAATGCTTTTGGGATTGCAGTATAGCTTTTTACCACTAGACCACCAGAGCTTGCTATGGAGAGGTTAAAGGTTAAATGTTGTAGGTGAAAAATTACGTTTCTGAGTGTATCAAGATATTATTTTATTTCACATCTAAGTAAATAATATCAAAACAGTGTGTTAATCAAGGCACAGCTTCCTTCTCTAACTTGCACTAAGGACAGGCATTCAGGAAATTGCACGCCCCCTTATGTTCACAAGGTGGTACGACATACACGTTTGTTCTCTGAGCCCTTTCATTAGTATAGCTAACTCAAGTCATTACTGTCATGTAGAAATCAACTCACAGCTGACCCTCCTTGGGCTTTCACAAGGCTGTGATTGCACGGGAGAAGACTGTTCATTTGTCTACTGCAGAGCTGCTGGTGGATTTGAAACTCCAGAGAGGCGCCACCTTTGGGTTTGCTGTGCAACTCCCCGACAACTGTGACTGCCTGTCCACTTTGGCAGTGTCACATGAACAGGCTGTGTTCTTCATCCTGTATTTATTTTTCTAAGACTTCCTAGTTTCTTGTTTTACCTGTAGAATACGTGGTATCAGTTGACTGATGAAGGTGTTCAAGCAAAGTTACTGTCACTGTGTTTGGAGAGTGTATGGTCGTCGAGGAAGGACAGAACCCCGTTCAGGCCAGGAATGAAAGTTTATTGAGGAGAAACTTCCGGACTGACTCTAAAGTAGAATCCAGCAGTTTAACTTAGAGTGGAGTTTTATCTTCTTATAGGGAAATTGGGGAGGGAGATTGTAGGCAGCTGCTTGTTACAAGATAAAGGTGCAGGTTGGAGGTTGTTGATAGTTATTCCTGGGAAAGGGAGGTGGAATGGTTTCACGGTCATAACAGTGATAAACAAAGTTACACCTGCTGCTTCCTGTGGTTTGATCATTTCTGTGGATGTTCTGGGAAAGAGACGGAGAGAAATTCTGAAGCCCTGACAGAACTTTCCTCTCGATGGAAACCCAAAAGCATATAGCTCTTGTCTCCTGACATCCAATGTTGTTGTTGTTAAGTGCTGTCAAGTCGTAGGAGACGCATAGCGATCCTATGAACCAAAGTCCGGGACACCTGTATAACTTTCATCCTCTCTGCAGGTTGATAGGGTTTCCAGAGGCAACCTATTATGGAAGTGGATGCCACTCCTGCTTCCAAGCTTGTTTTAATTAGGGATCTCCACCAAACACTGTCCACCATGGGCAACCATTCTTGTATTTGACTCATCAGAGTCACAGTGTTTGGCTTCACAGCAACCACGAGTTACCTCTTTACAGCAAGTGGACAGATCAGGGTTGCATGACTTAGAAGAATGTTTCACCAAAAACAATTAAAAGTAGACCTGAGGGCCGCAGAGTAGAATCACTCACCTTTGGCTTGGGAGCATGGCTTTCTGTCTGCTAGGCCGACTGCTCTCTCTTTCTGTGCTGCTGCTGCTGCTGCTGCTGCTGCTGGCGTTCAGTGCCGTCGAGTGGCAGGCTACTCATAGCGACCCTATGAACGAAAGAAAGAACAGTAACACACCACAAAAAAGACCCCAGAAACTTCCCTTGCCTGACTGCCACCAAGAGGAGCCACCATGGAGATGCCAGCCAGCCCACCAGATTAGCTGGCTGACTCCCAGAGTGGAGGGAGACTCCAGTTCCCAAGCCTCGTGAAGGATTTTCCCTGGACATCCAATAATACTCCTAAAATCTTCTCTGAGGAGTAGAACAGGTTCAAGAATTCTCCCTCTCCTCTCTTTCCCCTCCCCCCCCAAGTGCTTCTCTGACTTCCAATCTGAGAGCAAGTCAGCGTTGACTTAGCTCTGTACTTGCATCCCTTTTGTCTTTCTCTTTGCTTCCTTCCATTCAATTGCATTAAAATGCTATCCTATCAAGAGCTGTTTTGAGAAACGGACACCAGAGGTCTTTTTATTTTCTCTACCATCTATCAAATGGCTCAGTAAGAGAGATTTGTCAAGTGCCATCCGAGACATTTGACTTACAATTTATAGTGGGGAAATGGTTAGGAAGTTGATTTATTTATTCCTGCTACCTGAATAAAATAAAAGGAGTGGTAGATTGGCCGAGTGTGGGGAAAATGATCAAAGACTTCTGAGTTTGAAGCTTGATTCCACCCTTTTCTGGTTACATGTGTTTAGGAAATTCCTGAGAGCTGGCTTCCCTATTTGTTAAGGGAGAATACATGTTTTAAAAACTTGTATGTGGCTTGATCATTTCTTCCTCCATTGTGTTTTGTGTGGGCCTGTTTTGTCTTCACTGTCTTCTCATAAGACTTTCAGGATCAAGAGATTTCTGACCCAGAAACAAAAGCAGAACTGCCCCATTGCTCAGTAGATTCAAGTGAAAACTGGCAATAAAATCAGGTACAACTCCAAGAGGAGATTTTAGAGGAGAACTCTCTCAAGGAGTCATATGCACACACAACGAACCTAGGCTCATTAGCATTGCTCTGTGTCAAGCTGACAGGCTACCATATCAAGTCTAAAATTACGTCACAATCTGATCACTTCCTATGTAACGTGTGTGTTTCTAAGCGCCCATCTTTTCAGTAAATACATGAGATCTATGATGTACACAAACTTGTATGTAAAGTAACAGAAAAAATAAAATATAAGTGGATTAATACCAAACCTAAAAACCACACCTACTCCCATAACATGGCAGGGGACTGCCTGTCTTTCTCTGTCAGATCAGCTGGTGATCAGGATTATCTGCCATTGGATTGGCAGTGCAACTCCCTATCTACTAGTTTACAAGATTTCTTTGGGTATGAAGAAATGCATGTTTTCTCAAATGTAGTTTTCTATTTACCCACTGTACCTCTTTTGTGCAAAGGAAAAGATGGTTGAAAAGGTGGTAGTTTATTAATCAGATCATTTCTAAATCTTGCTTTCCCATCACCAACACCTTAAAAAAATGACAAAGAGTTATTCCTTGTTTCTTGAAGAAAACGCAAACTTACTAACACTGAGTCTGAACCCACTCATAACTGACGCGCCATTGGGTTTCTGATACTGTAAATCACGTGGGAGAGACTGCTTATCTTTCTGCTGTAGAGCCATGAAGGGATTTGAACTGCCAGAGAGTTGTGCCTCTAGTTAGCACCACAACTTCGCCATGGACTACAGCCCTAGGGCTTCCCTCTCCTTAAAGAGTACCTGGGGAAACATGGAATTTCCTCCAGTGAGAAGGGTCTTGTGTGGAGCACTGGTGCAGTGATAATTGAGAGAAAAAGTGTGGAGTATTTTTTTCCTTTCTTCCTTAGACTTGTAAATGTGATCATCACAAAGGTGGTACTTATTTCATTAAGTGATCTAATTCAGCATTTTTTTACATTTTCTGTTATTA